CAATATACTCCTTCTCCAACAGAGTATCAATCGCCTGTCAAACAACCCATCAGCCATCAGCCAACTGCACACAGCCCCACGCCCACTCACCTTCTTGATGTCTGGATCTTGGGCGCAAACCTCTGCGAGATCTGCGAGATCACTTCTTGGATCAGCGGCTGGTTCTTCATCGTCTTTCGAGCCTTCATAATTCTGCAGCTCAGTCGCTTTAGCACCCCAGTAGATGTACATGTTTGCGTGACTTGTCCGCTTACCGCACAATCGTCGCTTGTATGACATATTTACGATCTTCGTCGACCGTCTTCAACACCTCTGATGACTCCGCCTTCACCTCTGCCTTGATCGGCTGGTTCAAATTCACCCTAATCTTCTTCGACTTGAAGTCTACACATCACCACATTAGCACTAGCATCAGCAACGACGCCGATATCCGACGGGTGACCACTGCACATACTCGGGTTCAAATCATACTGATCCGTCTCCTCATTAATCAAAATCTTCGCCTTCACCAAAAGCGACAACACCTGCGTCAAAATATCCCTACTCACCGCCGTCGCCGTCACCAACTCCGCCAAAGAGAGCGTATCATTCGTATTATACTGCAGCAACACCGCCATCTGATACGAACTCGTCATCAGTATGTACTTCTGGTTCAGATAGTTCGTCCGCAGCTCGTTCTTCGAGTAGTTCCATAGCCACGTCAACTTGCGCCCAGAATGTTTGGTTTGGTAGTACTTGGAGAAGCGGTCGTAGGTGGGCAGGATCTCGGGCGGGATGATGAAGTCGTTGTTGGGCGCGTTGAGGGGCCAGAAGTTGGTCCCGAGGACCATGATGCTAAAGTTGATATCCATGTCATCGTGGTTCTGTTGCATACGTTCTTTAAATTGATCCGTCAGGTCCTTACTCAGACTCATATCTACAGCCATCGTCAGTCACGTCCACCAACAAAGAAAGGCAGAAAGGTGGGAGCGCACCGGTGAACATCCGCTGGAGCTTGTTGGTATACTCGAAACCACATGCCTCCTTCAGCTTCGATATCATACTGGCCTCACTCTCGTCTGACGCTGACACGCCGTGTATGAGTCGCTTCGAAAGTTTGGTAGTGTAGAACGTCTGGAACACATCCTTGTCTTCTATATACTTGAACAGCACCATCTGAAAAAGCACATGAGTATACCCTATCCACCAAAAGTAAAATAAATCAGATCATACCACACGATTCAAAGCCCCCTCCAAATCCTCCTCCTCCGCCATCTTATTATTCTTACGCAAAAGCATATCCGCATGCTTCGCCAACAGCTCCGGCGACTTTGTCGTCGACGTCCCCGTCGCCGCATTCCTATTCACAAACTCCCGACACGCCTTGTCCAGACTGGCCACGAACCCAGCCTCCCCTTTGAAGCTCCTCGTCACCGTCTCCGAGTTCTTCCTATGCACCTCCAGCAGCGCGTCCACATACGCCTTCGGGTCGAGCGCATCCGCGCCTTCGCCTCCAATCAGCTTGGACACCGCCGCCAACCCCGCCTTCTTCACATGCTCCTCAAACTTCTTCCTCAGCGGCTCCAAGCCTTCCGGGATCCGCGACAACAGCGCATACATCCTCTGCAAATCTTCGTCCTTGTCAAAATCAAGCAGCTTCTGAAAGCTCTCCCACATCAACTCTGAATGCTCCCTGATCAACACATGCTCGCATTTGCTAACGAGCTGCTTGCGAGTCTCCGTGTTCAGATAGCGTTCCACCCGATCTTCCTCCTCCCGAAGCCGCTCTTCGGCCTTTCTGAGGTAATCGGAGACGCTGCTCTCGGCCAGGAAGGATTCGGATTCTTGTTTGTAGTACTTCTCGGTGGCTTCTATAAAGGGCGCCTCGAAGTGGTCTTTGTAGATATCGAGGCAGGCTTTGTTGGTATCGCTTTCGTCCAAGCCTAGGGAGACGAAGGAGTCGACGACCTTTTTGACGAGGCCTTGATCAATCGTGTCGCCATTCCGTTGGTGCTCGATAAGGCGCAGGATGGCTCCGGCCAGCTTTTGGTGTTTGCTCTGCACATGGAGGAAAAAGTTGGCCTTCCACTGGACCAACGCAAGCTAAACGGTTCGCATCATCGTCAGCTCCCGGGGGTTTGATGGATCGAGTAGAGGTGACATACGGTGTATACGGGATAGACGTTCTTGCGCCCCTCGTCTCTCTCACGTTTGACCCAGTGTCGGTTGAGGTAGGTGAAGAGACGGTTGATGTAGTTGGCCCCTGTCGTATAGCGATCCCATTCTGCTGCGTAATAGCGCAGGAGGGCCTCGTCTTGCAGCGTCTCGGATTGCTGTTGACATCGGACGGTCAAGTGGTGAGAGACAGGGAGGGGGGATTACTTACGTTCTTGAGGCCTCTGAGATGGGCGACGAAGTACTTGATGAGATTGTTATACAAATCCGAGCCCATCAGATTTGCGCCGGCTGCAAGTCAAAAGAAGGGCGTCAGTCCCCTCGTCTCGTGTACACCCCCCCATCGTCATAATAAATCGACGATAAAACAAACTCATGAAATCCAAGAAATCGAAACTCACTCCTACTCCCAGCGCCAACCGTATCACCCGCGCTGTGCATTCTGGAAGACGTGCAATAATTGTAAGCGACGGTATAGAGGCTCATGTACTTTGAGTAGGAGACGCCGGTTTGGAGCTTGGTCATGATGTGGTCGACGCCCTCTTCGAGGAATGTCCAGGTGGTTGCGAGGTCGGCCGTCGCTGGGGGCATGTTGGGGGCATTGGTGGCGGTCGTGGTCGCCATCGTGGTGGTCTCGTGTCAAGAGGGATGTATTGGGGAGGGGGTGTTCTGATTTGGACTTTGGGATAGGCCAAGGTCACGGTGTTTTGCTTACGCGAAAAAAAGGCGCGGTGTGGCGCGTCGCTGCCTCGTTTTCAGAGCGCGGCTGAGAGTGGCTACGTGACATAGTGACAAGAACAGGAAGAGGACAAAGAGTTTGCGTATAATGAGAAGAGAAAGTCTATGATTAAGTGAACGACGAGTATGTCTACAGTTTGACAGCGGTGTGGATACATGCGATGCCTCCCCAGAGATCAGTCCATGCACCACCGTCGCGATCACCCCCGGTAGCGAACCCTGCCTCTCGTATCATCTGAGCAAAGACGGGCTGAGAGGGGAATTTGCGAATGGACTCTACGAGGTACTGATAGGACTCGCGGTCGCCTGCGAGGATGGTGCCCATGAGAGGTATGATGGAGAAGGAATACTGGTCGTATAGGCTGAATGGACCTAATGAGCGCGAAAGACAGGTGCAGAACGCTGTGTGGACTCACGTGCTGAAGAGAGGGTTGTTCACCTTGCTGAACTCAAGACAGGCAAAGGTTGCGCCTGGTTTGAGGACGCGGTGGGCTTCTTTGAGGACAGCGGGGATGGAGGTGCAGTTGCGTATGCCGAATGCGATGGTGTAGAGGTCGTAGGAGTCGTCTTTGAAGAGGGAGTGGGGCATGTCCTGTGCATTTGCCTCGTGGAAGGAGACCTGGGGAGCTAAAAGGAGTGAGTGCAAGGGTCGGTGGAGTGAGAGGGGACGCACTGTTGTGATACATGGTCTTTTTGAACCTGGTGAAGCCCTCTTTGAGCATGTGGGCATTGATGTCGAGGACGTCGACGGTGGTCTCTCTGTCTGCGTAGGACTCGCGTGCGTGGTCGAGGATGCGGAGGGCGATGTCGCCTGTGCCCCCTGCGACGTCTATGCAGCGAAGGGGGCCCTTGCGACCCGGTTTTAGGGTGGACACGAAGGCGTCTTTCCAGAGCCTGTGGACGCCGAGGGAGGAGGCGTCGTTCATGAGGTCGTAGGAGGAGGCGACGGAGTCAAAGACATGTTTGACGAGGGATTCCTTTGACTCTTCTGGTATTGTTTTGAAGCCAAAGGAGGTTGTGCGGTGTTGGGAGTGGATGTGTCGAGATGGGACGAGGGGACGAGCTCTGGCGAGGGAGCGAGGGAGGGAGAGCATGGTGGGAGGAGAGGGACGGGCCGGGCCGGTGGTTGTGCTGCAGCGATGCTATTTACGCGAGAGGGAGTAGTGAGGAGTGGTAGTGTGGTAGTGGTAGTGGTAGTGGTAGTAGTAGTAGTGGTAGTGTGGTAGTGGTAGTAGTAGTGTGGTAGTGTGGTAGTAGTCGTCGTAGTAGTAGCGTGGTAGTAGTAGCGTGGTAGTCGTCGTCGTCGTAGTAGCGTGGTAGTAGTCGTAGTAGTCGTCGTCGTCGTCGTCGTAGTAGTAGTAGCGTGGTAGTAGTCAGTCAGTTACTAGCAGTGTCTCCCTTTCGCTGACTCCTGGTGAGCCAAGCCATGTCCCGCACCACGCGCACGGTCGCCCCCTCGCCGACACCCAACGAGGTCGTCATCAGCCTCTCCACCCTCCTCACCGTCTCAGACTACCGCGCCTTCTACCCACACACCCCCATCACCTCCTTCCGCCCCGTCTACTTCGCCCTTGACGATGGCTCCCTCGTCGCACCCCCCTTCATACACGACCTCCAGTCCTCCAGCATCTCCCTCCTCTTCATCGGCTGTCTCTTCACCATCTTCCTCCGCAACATCCTCACCTCTCTCTCCTTCATCACAGGCGGAAACGTAAAGAAGAAAGCCCTCCTCTATACTCTCGTCGCCAGTCAGCTCCTCGCCCTTCCTTCCTTCATTCCCAGGATAGTCGCCCAGTTCGATAGATCCCCCCAGTTGCGGCTCTGGCAGTCCCCTCCCTCCTTCTCTCTCTCTCTATCCTCACCCTCCCAACCACAGAATCGTTCGCATCGCTTCGGCCTCGGCGGGCATCTCCCCTCTCCCTCCTCGGCAGTCTCTCTATCACCCCCTCGCAATTAGCCCCTGACACACCCACAGATGACTGCCATTCTAGGCGTAAAGGCCTACAAGTGTCTAGACAACGCCCGTTTCGTCCTCCTCGTCCTCATCCTCATCAGAACGGCAGCTACTGCACTACTCATCACAGATACCGTCACAATGCGCACTTATCGAACTCTATCAGGTTCGTACCTACCCCCTCAACCATCTCCTACTGACCATCCCAATAGGGCAATGCGCTCGACAATCAGATGGCTACACCCCGGTCTTTGTCATTCTCCTCTTCGTAGAATCTCTTTTCATTTGTTGCTGCTGTCAGTGCACATCAATCTCACCCTCACTACATGCTAATCCTTAATTTACCCCCAGTCCTATATGCCGTCTGGAAATCTCGCGGCTCATCCGCAGTCAGAGGACGCATCTCACTCCAACTATCTCTCCATGAAATCATGGACCGTCCACAGGACATCATCCCCACCAAAGAAACCGTCGAACATGATCTGGCCAGTATCCAAAAATCACGCTCCCACTACACCTTCATGTCCGAGCCCCCCTCTCGATCGCTATCCCTCGCCCGCACAGAGACACGCACAAAATCCTTCATATCCGATGCCCGCAGCGTCCTCTCCACCGCTCGCACCAACCTGTCCCGATCGCGCAGCTGCAACACGATAACGAACGAGGAGACCCTTCCCCTCCCCACTTCAGCGACCAGAAAGCTCGCTCCCCCCGAACAAGCCCCCAACCCCCAACGTCGACCGTCTACGATCAGGATATCAGAGGCCATGGAGCGGCGCTCCATGCACCGGCAGGTCCGTCCCACCCCACAGCGCCCTTCTTCTACCTTCAGTCGTCTCAGCCGATACATGCCCCGTATGGCGCTGTTCCGCGAAGTCATGCGAGACGAGGTTCGTTCTGGTTCATTTCGCGGGATGTGTCACTGACGATCGCAAACAGCTCTGTTACACCACGTTCATCACATCCACCACCGTCGCATCCGTCATCCTCAACGTCGTCGGCGTCAACTGCGAAAACACCCTCAGCTCTCTTTCATGGATGACACTAACCTGTACGTACCCCCTCCACCTCAGCTAACCGTCACGGTCCTGAACCCTGCTTGCAGGGGGCATCATCTCGCTCTTGGTGATGCACAGTTTCGGCCGCGTGGTTCGCCGACACGAGCTCGAAGACGTACTGCAGAACCCTTCAGCGTGGTATCCCGTCCTCACCGACCGCCGAACCGCCGAGTTTCTCGGCCACCCGAGACCCCACCTCCTCCGCTCCTCCTCCGTCTCCTTCGCGCCGCACACCAGAGCCCGCCGCGCCCTCCCCGCGCGCTACGACACCCTCACCGACTCTCTGTCCCAGCCGTCGCAGCCGCCCAACTTTCACCTGAGCAGGAAATCATGGTCATCCAAGGGAGGCGAAGACGCGCTCTCCGTCGTCGAATCCATCTCCTCCCTCTCCGCATCGTCCTCGTCGTCCGCGGACACGGACGCGCGCTCCCCCCTCGACTCCCTCGACTCGTTCGACTCGTACCTCCGGCCGCCTCCCCTCAACCAGCCCGTCATCCTGCCCTCGCCCGCCTTGGACCACTTCCCGACGTCGGGCCGCAACTCGCCTGCGCACGGCGATGGCGGGGGCGGGGGCGGCGATGATGACGAGGCGGGAGGGGGAGGGGGAGGGGGAAGGTGGGTCCCGGGTGAGTTGGATCTGGGGAGGTATTGGTGTGAGGGCGGAGAGGTGTTTGAGGTTTTTGGGCCGGTGAGGTCGGATACGTAGGACCCTTTGCTTCTTTCTGTCGTTCGTTCTTTCGTTCGTTCTTTCGTTCAACCTTTCGTTCGTCCACTTTGCGTTCCTTTTTACATCAAAATGTAAACCTCGTGTTCCTGGGGGCATCTCGCGTATTCGTTGATTTGTGTTTTGTTATTCGTTGATTTGTTTTTTGTTATTCGTTTTTCGTTTTTCGTTTTTCGTTTATTTCTTTTATCTGTTTTTTGTTTTGTTTTTTCGTTTCTCGTCGCGCTCTCTTCGCGTTTTGTACTACCGTAACTATGTCATTCGGACCGTATGGCCAGCTTTCGTCCGCGTTTGGCGGGAGGGGGGGGGGTGTTCTTGGAATCGTTTAAAATGGATCGGTTCTCTCTCTTTCTGCTCCTGAGCTTGAGATGTGTGGGGCTCGTGAGCTGGGACTGGGAGGTGGTAATAGGACGACTCGGACGGGTGAAACGCTTGATTGATATAAGTGGGAGGGAGTAGAGACTCGAAGCAGCGATCACTCCCTCCCCTCCCCTCAATGGTAACCAGCTCTCAGCTTAACAGTATCCAGCACTCCAACACCCGCGCCGCCAGGGATCGCACATCCGAGGGTCTGTCAGCCCCAGCCACTCGCGAAGCGAACATGCAAGTAGTCAGACAAATCGGTGCACTGCGGTAGCACTGCTACTGCCGTATTGGTATTGTTTCAGTAGCATCAGTCCGCCCCTTTCCTCTCCATGTTCCCTCCATTGCCTGGGTTTGAACTGAGCAGAAAACACCCCACCCTAGACGACGGCCCGTCGCCCGGCTCGACCGTCACCGTAATGTTCAGACACGGCGACGGCAGCGGGGTGTCGAAAGAACCCCTTCAGCCCCTTCAAGCCCGCCTCCGCCTCCTCCAGCGCCGCCCCGCCGCCGCGTCGGGCTGCTCCGTGTGCGTGAAGAGCGCGAGCTGGAGCGTGCAGCGGTGCAGGCGCCGGTGGGCGGCTGTCAGCTCCGGCCTGGCGCTCTCGTCGGACGGCGAAGGGAAGGGCGAGGCTGAGGCTGGGGTTGGGGGGGCAGGGTGGAGTAGGGTTCCCAGAAGAAGTGGGGCTGGGGCTGAGGAAAGATGGTTAGTTCACGTTGTTAGTGATGCGGCGGTGCGAGTGAATAGATAGAGCGAAAACAAAAACAAATTACAAAAACAAGACATATAAAATAAAATAAAAAAGACTTCCGCTCACGCACGTTTCCTACATTCTTGCGGCTTGCGCTGCTTGCCATTGGGGCTTGGCGTCCTACTCCAGCCTGGCCTGCAACCTCTGTCTCGTTTGGCAACTTTTTGGTACTCATGATCGAGGTGTGAATTTCAAAGAGTTCAAGTTGGGGGCGGAGGGGGGTGTTAGTAACTTGATCAACGAGATACGACTGGCATGATATATATACGCAAGTCGACCCTTTGTGTGCCTATTTGGTATCAGCACCAGACAGCATTATACGTCAATGTGCGTACCAGGCAGCACACTCACAGATACTTCTTCGCGAACACCCCCCCCCCCCCCCCCGGCACTTTCATTGAGTCCTTGGGGCGCAGCAGCTATACTGATACCGATTCGTCGCATGATGGCATCGTAGTACACAAGACAGGACACTAGCCAGAAGTCACGATTCTCGTCTTGAACCTCGATGAGGTAATCGAGCTGGGAAGGACATCTGCGGAAAAGTGCCGCGCCAAAACTGCTATTAGAGCTCTGAGCAGCTTTTTGCGCTCGGCTAATGTCGGACTTGACTGCAGATGGATGGGATACATCAGTTGGCTTCAGGATGTTTTTATCATCAGAGTAACAGAACTCACCCTACCATATACCGTTATCTGATTTGGCGTCAACTGCAATGATGGATTGAAGAAGCCATCGATGCAGTGATGACTAGAACTGTAAAGTAAAAGACTCTCAGTCTTTCTGGTAAATGACTGATATATTAATCAAATGTACCTGTAAAGTAAAAGACTCTAAAGGAATGTGTAAGTATGAGTTTTAACTGCAATAATAGTGTTTACTGTACCTCAGTCTTTCTGGTAAATGACTGAGGTGTCTAAGGTAGGATGAGTGCGCTTTTCTGTATCCTAATTAGGAAACTTATGCAATCCATCAGAATGTCGGAATAGTTGAATGAAAGTGACTGCAAGAATGAAGAATCTATTGTAATGTATATAATATGCCAACAGTTGAATTGATTAAACGACCTGTAGAATTTTCCATCATCAACTCAGATCATCCATGTGCTTTCACCAGCTCAATTGTAACTCTTTTTTCTTCTCATACAAAATATATCTTCATTGTTATTGTATACATGGCTCATCGTGAAACTTGGCTGCGAGCGATTATCCAAGACAGGGAAACTAGGCATGATGGAAGGACTTCACCACTAGTGGTCCGACCAAAAGCGGCAGACCTCAACTCATATGATCAATTCCTCCTCCCATCATTCTCATAGGCTCACAGACTGATCCACATCCCTCGGGTTCGTATTAGAGCGAGGCGTGGGCTCGGACGCATCAAGGTCGACAATATTTTGTGAGAGCATACGCTCATAAGAAGCGTGCACGTGAGACTTGTCTTCTACATATCTAAACAGCACAAGCTAACGACAAAACATCAATAACGGTCGACTCCTCCAATAGGTTATCCAATACACGAACGTACCAGGCGAGTTGTAATTTCTCTCGTAGGTGCCTTTTCAAAGTCTTTACTCGCTCGCTCGAGATCATCGGCATACTGCACAAGCATTTCAGACGACTTCGAAGAGGAAACGCCTATCGCCGTATTCCCGTTCACCACATCACTGCAAGCTTTGTCAAGGATAGCCATGAAGCCTGCTTCACCCCCGAATTTGTTCGTTATGACTTCCATATTCTTCTGACGAACGTCCAGTAATGTGTCAACGAACTTCTTCGAATCTAGGCTGCCACCGGTAGCCCCCTCTGACAGCGCAGACACAAAGGCCTTCTTCAGGCGCCGTTCGAACGTATCTCGCACGCACTCCAAACCCTTGGAAAAAAAGAGTGTAGGAGCGCTGCAAGTCATCGTCTCTACCATCCTGCATGAGTGTCGAGGTGTTTTGGATATGAGCCATGAAGATCTGTTCACATCTCTCGACGAGAAGCTTGCGAGTTTCGTGGTTCATATACCGATCCACTCGATCTCCTTCATCCCGAAGCCGATCCTCTAACCATTTGAGATACTCCGAGACATTGCAAACCTTGCTGATAGCGTTGGCGATTGACGTGTAATATATTTCTGTGGCGTCCAGGAAGGGCGTCTCAAAGAGCTCTTTGTAAACTTCGAGGTTTGTGTTTGGCGAGTATTTTTCAGGATAGCCCACCGGATGCTAACGAATCCGTGATCGTCTTGATAGAGCTTGTATCGACCTTCAAACCTTCCCTCTCGTCTCGGCTGAGGTGGATAAGGGTTCCGACCAACTTCCGATGTTGAGGAATGAGGAAATGAGTCTTCCATTGCACTAGTGCAAGCTATCAAAGCAAGTTTATCTCAAGGGCTACGAGTTCAGGCAAAAAGTGATACCACCCTGCCATCAATTGGGTAGATGTGTTTATTCCCTTCACCTTATTTTCACCCTCTCACCCCAATGGCGGGTTGAAGTTATGCAAAAGTTACGACTGGCAGTGAGTGCACAGGATGCATATTGGGTCCAATGTGCAACATAAAACTGTAACCAGTTCCTGCCCTTGTAAGTCACTGGATTGCTGGAGATATGACAGTCAATCGAAGTTTGACAAAAAGAATGATCACTGACATCTTTCAATTCAGATACATATGTTTCGTAGTACATGGATATGCTTTTATACAAACGATCTGTCGCTATATGAAATGAGGAAGATGCACATTGAAAGATTGTCCAATTACTCGGGTCTTAAGTTACACACCACCGAGTACATGGACATGTATTTCGCATAGTTGCTAGCTTGAAAACCAAGTGAGATGATCTCGTCTAAGCCCTCTTTCAGAAATGCCCATGCCGTTGCGAAATCCGCCTTTGCGTCAGGCATGGCCATCGAGCGCTGCAAAGCTGAACTCGCCATGACGGTCTATGTGGAGCGAGGTCAATATGTCCAGTCAGCTCAGCAAAGAACGTGGTCTATATTCGTGTAAGCTGGGCGCTCATGATAGAAGCAGCATAGGCGCCATCATTTGCCGATTCCTAGAAAAGGCTATCTTCCTGTGAGAAAGTCGACATCGAAGAGATAAGTAGTTTCCTAGCTTGGTTAGGAAACATATAATTGACTGGTTTGTGTGCAAATCTCGCTTTTTAAACTGGGCAGGAGGCGACCCATCAAGAGCCAGATAGTGATTTGAATCCGAAGACGTTCTGCTTCCGGTACATAAATCTAAAGGGTTGCACCATAGACCTTACGCTTATGCTTCACTGCCGTCCTCTGCACTTCAATTCCCACACAAGCACCAGCCAAGAAAATCAAGGTTGCCATGAGCTAGATTGCAAATTTGAGGAGGTGAGCTCTGAAAGAACCATAGGATCATACATAAGATTAAAAAAGCAGCCCATTTGTCTTCTGATTCATAATGACTATGCGGAGCCCTTCACGCTGAGGATCAGCTCGCATGTTTCGATGAGGGGCTCGCGAGTTTCCGTATTCAGATATTGTTCCACCCGTTTTTCCTCGTCACGAAGCCGTTCCTCTACCCATTTGAGATACTCTGCGTCACTGCGTTCCTTTCGTACAACATCAGATTTTCGTGCGTAGTATTGCTCTGTAGCTTCTAGGAAAGGAACCTCAAATAATTCCGTGTAAACGTCGAGGTCAGTCTTGCTAGAATCCTTTTGATTGATCCCAACAGTTGTCATTGAGTCGATGACCTTCTTGATAAGGCCATTATCGACCTGTCCGCTTTCTCTATCGACCTCGATGAGATGGAGGAGGGTTGGGATTAACTGCTGTTGTTGAGGTATGAGAAAATGTGACTTCCACTGTACCAGCGCAAGCTGTGGATATGTGCATCATCTTCAGTATAACGAGTGAGGTGGCGGGTGTATGACACAGACCAAGTTAATCGGGTAGAAAGATTCCCTCGACTCTTCGGGCACTATGTCAGACTTGTGAGCGTTTTTCATTCGCCGCCTTTTTGCGTCCATGTCTGGTTTGACCAGTTGATTCAATTTTGAGAAAATGTTATTGACACGGGGGATACGAGATGTATAGTTGCTCCATTGTGCGACATAATATTGTAACAATTCTTCTCCTTGTAGGGCATCGGATTGCTGGAGATGATGGTCAGCCAGTTGCATGGTCGACACCAAGCTTGTGCACTAACGTTTCTCAACTCTGATACGTAGTTACCATAATACGTGCTCAATCGATGGTATAAGTCCAAAAATGTGCGCACTTTATTCTGCGCTGTGCAAGATACTAGTTAGCTTATTCCATTAAACGTCTCTGCAGTTACTCACGTTGATCCTCTGAGAGAACACCTTGAGAAACATCGGGTACAACCCTTGATGCCAAGCAATAATTGTATGCAGTCGAGTATAGAGACATGTTCTTCTGGAAGGACATGTCAACACCTGACATGATGTCGTCCAGGCCCTCCTTCAGATAAGACCATATAGTGCTGGGATCCGAGCGAGGGTCCATGATAAGAGGCGCCGTATAGTATAGCGCGACTCGCAGTGACAGAGTATATATAACCCGAGCCCAAAACTTTATATGCTTCGATGTAACACAAGCTGAGTTCAGAGAGACAGGCCGGCCCATGAAAAGCTAAACTGAATACGTAGACATAGCATCCCCTGATTGATACATCCATCAACTGTAACGGCGATGCAAAACATAGCACTGCTTACTGTTTCCGTTAGATCGAATCGTGATGAAGAAACTGTCCATCAGCGCAGTTTGTGTAGTTGTCCCACCACTATATAGTACTGGCCAATAAGCTGGTTTGGATTCATCCGTCGAACCGCGAAGTGCCGAATAACGCAGCAGATGACTGGAGTAGACTGAAGTTGCAGTTGCAAACTAGACCTAGACTAGCACTATAAAGCAGCATGGACTATCACTGTGAAGTGTTTGTTTTGGATCTTAGTAGTATACATCATGTACTTCGTGGTCAAACAGTGGACCGTGGGGAAAATTTTTAACGACGATATGATTATTGCTGCTGGCTTTCCAGAGTACCACCAAACGCAGATCTTGGACTTCAAATTGGCGGATAATGTCGTCGACAAAGGTCATAGACAAGGGCAAAAGCAAGGCTATCCCTAAAATTGTGCAATCCGCCTTGCACGACTCGTCAACTTCTACCTCAGACTCGGACAGCGATTCAAGTAGCGATTCTTCAGACTCAGAGAAAGATAAAGATATTACTCCAGAATATCTGAAATCACTCATAGAGACGGCCAGACAGAATGCAATAGAAAAGGAGAGGCAGATGCAGATATCAAAAGATGGTGCAATGGAGGAAGACATAATCAAAGTAGACGATACCAAAGAGTGCGTGCAAGCTATATTTCATTTGATATGAATACACATTAAAACTACTTTCAGCCGACCTTTACCACCGTTGAACCCAGGTACACTTCCCGCACCATATTTTGAATTTGGGGAAGGTCGTTTTGGACCTGTGTCAATACGAGATCCCGACATCGAACGGGCAATAGCTATGACGTCTTCAATCCTCGCACCTGCACCCCCTGCACCCCCACCTGAACTCACCAAGTCGGGAAAACCACCAACTAAGAAGGAAATAAAAGCGGTATGTGTGCCTTTACTTTCGCTTGGCCATCGAAATTCATACACGTTTCAGATGAAGAACAAAACTGCAGGACCCAGCTGGTATGATCTTCCCGCTCCCTCCGAGGCTGATTTACCCCGGTTATATCGGGAGGTCGAGGCTCTTCGTTTGCGAAATCAGTTGGATCCAAAGCGTTTTTATAAGAAAGACGAGGGCGAAGGCAAAGGTATCAAAGGGCTACCTAAACATTTCGCCGTGAGTATCTTTATCATTGGTATTAGATAGTCATGATGCTAGGAGGGAGTTACTAATGTTGGCATACGATATCACAGATTGGCACTATACTTCCATCGAGTACACCTTTCGGGACAGCTAGTACCGACAATCTTCCTCGCTCTCAGAGGAAGAGGACATTTGTTGACGAGCTGGTTGATGATGCAGAGGCGAAGAGGTATGCTAAGAAGAAATTCGACGAGTTGCAGTCAGTCAGGGGGGCGAAGGGGAGGGCAACACTACATAAAAAGAATGCCCTGCGCAAACCAAAGTGGTGATCATGCCTGTATACCATCTCTTCTACCTGATGAGGAGCAGTATGCTTGCTGTGAGCTGATGATACCTCTTTTTTTTTGGTTGTTGCTATCACCAGGACTGTTTCATGATTCGTAAATAGTGCACTCAAAAAAGTATCTTACGATCTCATATTGAAGGATAACATTCGGTGAAGCGAGCGAGAAGCCTGAATCTGCTCCTGCATTACCAATGCATATGATACATCTGTCGACCGAGTTGAGCTTTATACTCATCGGTAACATATGTACAATGATCTCGTGTAAATGTTATTTAATTCAAGACTGTTGGAAGTATCGATGGTGATTTGCTGTCTAGTTGACTTGTTTTAAGACTGTTCACAGCCACATTTAACAAATCTCGCATTTTTCCGATACTACACCGTTCGCATTGACTTCCAAGTTGAGTCCAGTGGACTCCGTCTTATTTTCAAGTTAAACCTCAAAATGCCTCGACGTCGCCCATCCTCCAAGGGCAAGTCAACATCAAAGGCTCGCCCAGTGGATCGCAAAGATAGTAAAATAAAGCGGTGGAACAAACCATCCGACATCGAACTTGACGAGGAAGACCAGTGTATGTTATTTCCCCTGTCAGCTCAGAGCTCACTCTCTCAACGTCTGCCATAGTCCATGCATCTCGCGACAAAATTCTTCTGGAAGGAGACGAAGTATACGACGACGAAGATGACGATGAAGATGAAGTCTTTGCTTTGAAAGGCTTGTCCGATGAGGAGGAGGAAGACGAAGAGCCCAGTGAAGGGGATGACGATGAAGACGTGGACGTGGACGTGGGCACGACCGAGGGGAAAAAATCGAAAAGCTCCAAGTCCAAGTCCAAAACAAAATCAAAGAAGAAACATGCTTCATCTTCGTCCGAATCTGAAGAGGAAGAGGAGGAAACTTGGGGGCGTAGCAAAGCTGCATATTATTCATCTAATGCTGCTGAACTCGAGTCCGATGATGACGAAGCAAACGAACTAGAAGAGCAAGAGGCGAGGCGGCTGCAGACGAAAGCTCGGGATGTTATACTTGAAGAAGACTTTGGATTCGGGGAAGTGGTAGCGGGTGATGAACACACGGAGGAAACAGAGTGAGTTGTCGAATGAACTGATCTCAAAAGACAGCTCTAATAGCAATCTCAAGCATATTAATGGAGGAATCCGAAGTTTCAAAGCCGTCTTTACCTCAAGATAAAAAATCGCTAATCCGCTATCTTGAAAAAGAAAATCCGGAAGCTCTGGCTTTAGCTCGTGATTGGGATGATACTGCATGGAATCTTGTTCAAACACAGGCAAAAATTGTTCAGTGAGCAATGCCCGACACTATTCTTCTTCTTCTCCTATATTCATAACATTCGTTTACTAGACTGGAAAGCGAGGATCCCGACGCTGTCAGCCTCGGAATGATACATTTATATTACCGTAAGTGCATTCTATCACTTATGACCTTATTTTGGACGTCGTTTTGCTCACGTCCAATCTGTGTGGATATCTTGTGCAGAGGCACTGTTGACATACGCGACAACGCTTGCATTTTATCTACATCTACGTGCATCTCCCAAATATTCGTCTCATCCAGAACTGCTCCGGGACCACCCAGTACTTTCGCGATTGCTCACCCTGAAGCAGGCTGTGGCAACCTTGGATGATCTCGATTTCAACGCATCTGATGAGGAGGATGAGGACGACGACGACGACGACGACGACATGGTAGACCTGGATGGTCTGGACCAAGAGGCATTACTTGAAGACATGCAGAATCTATGGAATGCCAAAGGCAAAAAGGCCCTGGAAATGGGGGAACTAGAGGAGCTTCTCATGGACGCTTCACGTTCCAAGTCCAAATCAAAATCAAAATCAAGTACATCTCTCAAGGCAGATTTGGATGATTCAGAACTATCCGTGAAGCCACCAAAAAAGAAACGCAAGACCGCGGAGAAAGCTGCACCCGTTTTCGACCTGGTTGAACCCGAGTTTAGCTCATCTTCTTCACGGAAAAAGCCTACCTCGTTCGGAGATACCAACAATGCAGATGCCTTCGGAGAAGCTACATTCTTGCAACATGCTGATGCAGCCGATAAAAAAGCACGCAAGAAGTCGCTGCAATTCCACGTCTCTCGTATTGATAGCGCGAGTGCTCGGCGACAAGGTGCCAGGGCAAACGCTTTGGGTGGTGACGATGATATTCCTTATAGAGAGCGCCGAAAGGATCGAGAAGCAAAACTGGCAAAAGAGCAAGAGCGTAATAAGGCTAGACTCGGGATGGGTGGCGATGACTTGGATGATGTCGATCCAGAGCTGGAAACCGACGGGAAGAAAGAGAAGAAGAAACGGAAAGAAATGGATGATGAGGCTGATGAAGATGAGGTTGATGGGTATTACGAGCTTGTCAAACGGCAGGCAACGGAGAAGAAGATGAAGAAAAAGATGGATTATGAAGTTGCTCAGGCAGCTGCTCGGTAAGGCACTTGCCTCATGTAGACTTTCAGCGCATTCACTCACTCGCTTCTAGCCCTGATTTCAATAGCAACGAAATGGATGGTCCTCGATCTATAACGCGGGCGATCATGAAAAACAGGGGTCTCACACCACACAGGTCAAAGAGTGTACGCAATCCTCGCGTGAAGAAACGTCAGAAATTCGAAAAAGCCAAGAAGAAAGTTTCATCCCAAAAGGCTGTCTATAAGGGCGGTATTGGGGACGCTTCTAAATATGCTGGTGAACAGTCGGGTATTTCAAAAGTTGTCAAAAGTGTTCGCCTGGGTTGAAGTTTATAAAACCTCTCCCCTTACTTCTCATATCATAATAATAGTGTTTCATCAGAAATATTGTTCATTCTCCATGTAGACGATATGTTACAAGCAAGTACACAACACACGATCATCAAAAGTACATGAAGAAGTCAATCTAATGCAACTGTCCGAAAGTCTAGAAACACATAACAAGCACAAAAATATTTCTTACATCCAAGCCGCGATAAATTAAAAGAGCACGCATACTCGCAAAGCACATGTTGGATAATTCAGGCGATATAAAGATACTCCATAGTCTGATTCGAGCTGCACAAGAAGGATGATATTTAGACCGCAAAGGCCTGAAAGGGGAATGGTCAGAAGGTGATATCAATACGAATCACAAGTGCACAAACGTTTGGAACGATTCCATGATCCGATCCATTCCCATGTCCATTGATAGCTGAGTCGACACTCATAGCGTCTGCACTGGGAAGACGGGAAGCAACGCTACTCATATCATGAAAGTCAGGGCCGCTGATCTTCGAATTCGCATAAACACGCTTGATCTCAGTAGCCTGCTCTCCAGCCTCTTCATAGGCATAAGTATACTGCTCAAGTCCAGCGATACATGTCTGGACTTCGGGACGGCCAAGACGAGCCAGAAACATTCCAGCATTGATGCAGCTAACGTGCATAACTGCTGGATCCAGTCTCTAATCCCTCGATGTTAGGGCGGTAAAACAAGTAGAGGCGAAAAGGAAAAATACCAAATATCCGTTGGAAGTAAGCACACCAACCTGTAGTTATTACTAAGCCAAAGAAGAATGTAGGTGTGATTAAGACTCATGGCTTTACCAATGCAGCGATTCGTAAGGCAGAATGCAGTGCTTCGTCAAATATCTTCCGCTTGAGAGTTTCGACTTGATTGATACCACTAGGTGCTAGAGAGTTATTTCGTATGCCGAATTCATCCAATGCATTGAATAACAAGATCCACATGACATGATAAGAAGCATCACTTGCGCCTTTGAATGCAAGTGTCAGGAGGTCGCCTCTGGATTATAAGATATACTTACATGCAGAAACAGCAGACACAAAGTCCCACTCAGCCTCAAAATTACTTGGAACCCCAACTTTGGGGAGATGAGCATCGCGCCATTTAGTAAGCTCTGATGCGTATGATAACGCAGCTTCCAAAGGGATACCATCCGAGTCAGTCGTTGGTCTCCACAGTTGCCTGGCTATTTGACGGGATATTCGGGCCAAGGCATGAGCTGCGCGATAATACCCCTGATTTATCTATGTCAGACAAGAAAGAGGTAAAATCTATTATTGCCTACCAAGAACTTTAAAATATACAGAGAACGGTATCAGTAACACATATTGAGAATTTGAGTTTGGTTTTACCTCTAGTTGTTCCCTAGGAGATGGGGCATTCATATCAGTAGTCTCTTGAGCTAGCGGATCGGCGGTATAAAAGTCAATGTCATAGTCGTCGTCATCACTTCACCAAAAATTAACATAGATTGAGGATAAGAGTACGAGAACGCACAGCATAGGTTTTCGGCGATAATAAAACGACGAATATGCATCCGCTATACAAGCCATCCACCACGCAAAAATCATGGTGCCGCGAGCCTCGGGATCCTTGATATCCGACATGACAGATTTATGATTGATCTGGAAGTTTTCAACCATGTTGGTGGATTATTAAATGCCGAAGCAAGACATTACATACCTGTAAGCCGAGTAAATTCCGTATCCCAGATGTCAACCAGAAGCCATGAAAGCCTGATGCAGTTAGACAAAAGGAAGGCCCGTATGGTGATTAAATTTACCGTTATTGGGATTTGAATGGGGATCCTCTAAAGAATATAATACAATAAATAAAATATCGTGAGGACAACATAACAAGTACATACGACTTTGCAAAGGTTCGATAAGAAGGGAAATTACCACGTTATCGGCGGAGGGAACACGATGGACCTTCATAGACTCGGCTAATTCGCGAGTACGCTCAATGAGAGCTTTTGCCATACGACTTTGCCCGTTATTGCGTTGGCGATCTACAATGAGCAAAGGATGTTCAGAAAATTTGGCCCCCCACGCCAGTACTGTTGCTACGAGAGCCGGGTGGAGGGGCTCGTCACTTTTAGAATGAGTTGGTGATCTTTGCAAGGCAGTTTGGCCGGCAAGGTTTAGACGCGCACGGAATTGGATTGGGTTCAGAAGAGGGAGACGAGTATGGACAATTTGGAAGTACACCTCCACAAGGTCGAGAGCGAATCTGAAAATAGGTTGATTAAATAAATGCCGACCGTCGCGTATATCGATACGGTAAATAAGAATAAAGGGAGCTATAGGAACCATCAGCAAGGAGTATCTTAAGTAGGAATAGTCCAGAGACTCACAATAATGACGATGTCGACTTTTACATAATGATCGCCAGAAAGGTACAAAGGCAAAGTGAGACGCACTCAGCTCTAAAAGCCTCCTCCTCAAGCTTAGAAGCCATCTCGCCCCAATCCGCATAAGGTGATAGCCGCGATTTTACCGCATTAAAAGGAGGTATAATGCTACTGGGGAAATGATTTAGCAAAATATATATTCAAAAGAAATCCAAAAAGCGTGGAACCTTTGGATATCCGGTGGTGAAAATAGATAAGACAATAGATGAGTGGTGGATGTATGAGGCGAGACGCTAGGGTAGATAGTCGGCCTTGGAGCCAGTGGTGAGTGACTTAGGCTGGGGAACCAAGGGCCAATGCCACCCTCGCCTGTGGGAGACGGACTAAGCGGAGCTGTAAGTATATTTGGAAGTCAAATCCAGCGATATCCAACATACAGTCTAGAAGGACCTGGGGACGACGGGCTACAGTTATGGTCAATGGGTTGCCATCAGGATTAAATATGAAGGGCATTCACCTAAGAATTGATTCGTGTGGTTAGTGGTCTATATGGCGCTAAATTGGTGTGAAACCTACCTTGTACTCGTAGATATATTCCTCGGCCTTCGAGCGGCGGAATTACGTTTCTTTTCGCTGGTCGCCTGTTGGACATAATGGCTGCGTCGTTATGAGCACATGGATATGAAGGTTGGAAAATAAAAGGACACCGACGTGCAAGGGTAGTTCTTGGATAGGCAGTGCTATCGGAGGCGTATTAGTCAAGAGGGCGCCAGACGCACAACGGAAGTGATCACGGACCTGGCACTAGAAGAGCGGTGCGGAGGTTAGAGGATATGACCTTCGTTTGATGCGAGTGAAATGATTTACCTTGTCGTGACCTGGTAATCGGTGACATTTAACCTTTCGCGACCTGGTGTTATCGGTCAAAAGAAGGAGGAGAGAATTAGCGATGGGTTATGTCACACCTGCAGGCATCGCAGGCTGTGTTCTGTTTCCTGGGAGGGGGAAGAGTCTTTGCTAATTCGTGGATCTGGTTCTGGATTGAGGGTGTCGGCAAGACGAGGCCTGTCGAGGAGGTAGAGAGGTGAGATTGAGGACGATTAGAAGGAGCACACGGGTACAGACCTGACTGAGAGAAAGACGGCACGTTATCGCTGCGGGGGGCTTGGAGGTCTTGCATGAGGAAAGAGAGGCACAATTAAGACGGAAATTGGAGGGGACGAGATTTGTTTCCGCCCATTCGTAGTACTTATACTTATAATTGCCTGATTACAGTACAATACTAATCCTAATGGATCGGACCAAACACCGCCAAACTCTTACGCCACCCCACCGCCCGTCGGCTCCGAGCTGAGGTCGCACGCCGTCAACCGACCGTCAGGCGCTCCCTCTATTTTTTTCTGTCCTTCCGCCTTCGCTCCGTACCTCGTCCACCATGGTCAAAGTAGAAATCGTTGAAGAGAAAGACGCTCAATATGCTGGCAATTCGCCGTATGCATCCTCCTCATCGTCGCGCACATCCTCCTCGGCGTCCCTCTCCTCCATTTCCTCAGAGCTCTCCGCCGAAGAGACCCTCTATGACCGTATCACCGCCCTCGTAGACATTGTGCCTCCCTCAACCCGTCACAGTCTTGCTTCGAAAGTATCAAAAGCTTCTTCTTTCGTGAAGCTGAGTGGGAAGATCGTCGGGAACATCGTTTGGGTTGTCACCACCTCAGCGTTATTGGTTGGCCTTCCTCTCGCTTTGAGCTTGGAAGACGAAGCAAAGGTAGTGGCACAGGAGCGGGAAATGTTGGCACAACAACAGGGCGCTCAACAGGTAAGTGTTCTTAGAAGCCCGTCTTCATCCAGTCATCGCCCTTTTGTTAACCCCAATCTTCCCACTTCCTTCCACAGATGCTCGCCCCTGGATCAACATATCCGTCATCTGGATCCAGTCCGAATCAACCTCCACAAAAAGGCCTGGTTCCCCCTGGCTTTTGATTGTCAGTTGTATTAGCGCCATGCCAGTCATATATTTACAGTCACCTACGCCTTCGTAAATATCTTTCTCGCGTTCCGCAGCATCCCGAGGTGACTCGCAAGCCTAGCTTCCGTTGGGAGTACTTTGTTACATATCGACAGTCTTATCTGATCGTGCTATAATAACATTTTCTTTCTTCGTGCGGGAAACACCCGATCAGTGTAAAATAAAATAAAAACGTTATGATCTTATTTGCTCGGCTTGGGTACGGCAGATTTTCTTGTAGTTTTCTACCCCCTAGACAACACTTTACATAGCATATCACAATATTACTATTCGCTCTATGTCCTGGCAACCACTCCGCCATCAATACAAAGAACGCTAAGTAAAGAAAGGAAGGACGCCCGCAAATTTTGATACGGTAGACGCCCATTTCGACTTCAAGCCTTATGGTGCAGTCTGAGTAACAAGATTTAATGAGTTGGTTCAACGTCCCGAAGATATGATATGACTCACTTGTCCTGACCGGGCAGGGAATACGACCGGTCGCACGAAGTTTTCTCTGTTCGGCAAATCAAATCAGGCCATAAGAAGAGCTATATCAAGCAAGTACGTACGCGGAGCGATATCTTCTAAGGTATGTTATTGCAAGGTTTTCTATCTCTTCTGGGGTCACACCAACAGCAGCCCAGTCTCCTGGAACGTCGGTATCATCGATGTATCGCCTCTCCACTTCGTCCGGGCTAAGGATCGGCCACCAAGCAGCTTGTGCAGCCTTGGCAATAAGCAATGCAATTCGCTTAGGCACGACAGGAGCCCGAGAAGGGGGACCGTAAGTAACAGATGACACAAGGTCCAGGAGGTACTCAAAAGTGAGAGCGTTCGGCCCAGGAAGGTTTAGTGTGCCACTTAATTGAGGGATAGACATAAGGTTAGCAAGCGCTTGTGCAACATCCATCACCTAGTAACGAGCTCACAACATAAACATGACTGAAGAAAACAATAACTGGTTTACTTACGTGAACTGGACGAATTCTGGTCTCGCCGTAATTCAATTTCCACCAGATTGGCCAGACTACGCAGTTTTTAACGTGAGCAGCGTGAATATCGCATCAGAACGAAGGACGGAGGACTGACTGGCCATGTTATTCAGGAACTTATCCTCATACCCGAAGAGTGAAGCGGGCCTGACGATAGTGGCGCTGGGGAAGACCTTCCTTACCCGTTCTTCACCCTCGGCTTTGGTTCGGTAGTATTGAGAGGAAGAGTTGCTAGATGCGTTCAGATGCGAAACGTGAACCAAACGCTGGACACCGACTTCAGCGGCAATCTTTGCGATTCGTTCTGCACCATCGACATGGACAGATGAATAATCGAAGTTCCTGGAAGAAAGGCATCAGCGGTGAATATACAGACGAAGAAACTAAACAATTATACTTCGTCTCGTAATCTCGGCCAACAAGATTGTAAACAATGTCTGAATGTCTGAGACATTCGGCTATTTGGTTTTCATTCCGAAGATCCCATTCCTACGGACCAAATGAATTAATTCCGGTGTGCAAGCTTGAAAGCAAAAATATTACCAAGGGAACTATTTGACCGAGGTCACCCATGGGCTTAAGATGCCTCTTTTCATCCTCCTCCCGATAGGGTACGACGACCTGTGTGCCCATCTTCGCTGTAACACAAAATATCACCATTTCTAACTCGCGACTGAATGAGAATTTGAGCTCACCTAGTTGAGATACCAAGTACCTTCCTAGAAATCCAGTACAACCGAAAACGGTGACGACGTGTCCACTAACAGCACTGTATCCAGGAGTTCCATAGGAAACGATAGGTTTGCGTCCAGGTAGTGAAACTAGGTCATGCAATGCCCGCTGAAAACCCATTCGTGATCAGATCCACACAATATCTCCATACTGATGAATATAGTATACCTTTCTTTGCTGGACGACGACGCGCTGGACGCGCAAGGCTTGGGAAGAAGAGAACATTGCCAGCAACCGCAACGAATTGCAGCGGAAGGTAGAAATTAGGTGGATAGCGTAGGCCGGGATTTCCCGACCACTACAGACTTGCGCGCCAAAACTTAGTAAAAGATTTTGTATCCAAGTTCAGCCAGCCACCAACTTTTCCTTCAAATTTTATTATAAAATGGTTCAAGGCAAAACCAAGGGCCTTCAAAACAAGGCCTCGTCATCCAGACATGCTGCCAAAGCAGCTGCTAATCCGAAGAAAGGGAGGAAGCATATCCCTCCTAAGAAAGCCGTACTTGTGCAGCAAGCTTCTATGCATAGGGTGAGCTTGTCATGGTTTGGCATAGCTAGAAACTCACGAAACTGACATCTCTGTAAGTCACTCTCAGCCAAGATTAATCATTCTATAGAGAAACAAATGGTATCTGCGGCGTCATCGGGAAAGCTGACTATCATGAAAAATACAACTGATGGGTATGTATCGGAGGCATTCTGCTATGGCTCATGTATTGACTGGCAAAAACCACAGGGAATCTTCGAAGGGTTCCAAGTCTTCAAGCAAGGGCGGTAAAACCTGAACTTCAATTATCTGTTTTCCGATGTCTTTCGTTCACATCCAGAAACCCAGGCATTAGATTGTAAGCTGTGCTACTCGAGGTCTACGTTGCCATCTTGGCCTCTTTTGCTAATATCTTGCTATCATTAAGAAATGCCAATTACAGAGAGCCTTCGGTACTCCAACTCTGAAGAACAAATATGTGATATCGTGGCATTCGTCTACCTTTTTTTGCCTCGGTTATTGGCCTTTTGAGGCTAACTGAAGGGCACTCACGTCCACTTAGAAGCAAAGAGATATATACCACGCTAAGCAGCGGATTAGCTCACTATACTGCACATGTAGTATTGGTGAAATTGCATATGGCGAGAACTAACAAGACAGTGGAAAGTCCAAGAAAGTGTGAGGATGCGGATGATGTACCAGATGTAAAAGGGGAGCATGCAACAGATTGACAAGATGTCATCAGAGTACTGGTGGAGATGCAAACACATTGGAACCCTACAAGAACAACAGTATGATGAATGAGGTGATGCAAGAAATGCGGAAGATAATGATTGCAAAGCATAATCGCGTGTAGAGGATGCATGAGTATAGATGCTCGTAGATCTTGTCGTGGATCAATCAATATCGTAGTCTTAGTATGAAATGGATCTGTATCATTTTGACAAAACTTAATGTACCCTTTGGAATTGAGCCGTAGCCATTCGAAGTCCAAAGGAAACAGGTGAAGGACATCATCTTTTCTCCCGCGTAAATGGCACTCCACTGGCAGTTTGGAAAAGGGCGTACTTGATCTGAGTTAGCGCGTCCCGTTCGTCGGGTGTTAGCAGGTTCTGAGGTTGCGAATCAACAAACATGATGACTTTGTTGATGGCGTCTTCAGCCTCAGATATATCTGGAGCAGAACCCGACGTTATGGGCGGTACAGGCTGATACATGGCGAGACTGTCATTGTAAGAAGCAGCTGCATCGTCGTGAGATGAAACTTGCATAACGGGCTGTGCGTTAGAAGCACCAACGTCTTCGTTAGCAGATATATGCGCCTCGGTGATATGATGAGATTGAACGAGAGATGCCTCGGGGATAGAATCGTGACCATGACCAGTCAACGAAGTATCTGCGATAATCGGCACTTCCTGGTGACTCGGCCAAGCTGGTTGCAATGTGACCAAAGACGATGCCTGTAACTCAGAGTGATTAGGAAGATTGTTCTCGCCATCCGGAGAGTCTTCTGACTCGATATCGATATCATAACCGTTGACAACGTCAGATGGGGGGACAGAATCACGATCATCCACGAGCTCGGAATGACCTTCGAAGGCAGGATTAAGTGGCGAGAGAACACCATCCGCACTAGTCCCGAGACCCATGGCTCGATTGCCCCGTGCACTTTTCCCATCCCCAAACCAGACACCTTTGCGTATGCCATGCCTGTGTTTGAAATTTTCGACCCAACCAGAACTAGCCTTGAATCTTTCGTCAGGAATTTGCAAGTTTCTGGCAGTCTCTTTAGCTTTAGAACGGATTAGGGTATCGGTGAGTAAAACGTTTTTCTGTTTCACTTCCACAAGCCATTGGACGAGCTCTTCCTCAATTTCGGGAAATTTAGAAGGCCTAGAAAAAATAATCAGAAGCCGGTTAAGCGGTGGAATTTTAATAATTTACCTATGCTTTGCAACTCGCATGTCTTCGCCTTCGGGAACATTCATCCATTTCTGCTTGTGTTTCAGTATTTTACTTATTGTGCTGCGTTCAACACCGTAACGCGCTGCGATATCTTCTTGACGTGCATTTGGGTTCTCCTTGTGATAAAGGCAGATCGCTTTTCGATCAACATTGAACAGCCTTTGTTTGCGTTGTTTCTGTCGCGGCAAAATAGGAGACATAGAACCAGGGGTGGGAGGTAGAGGAAATGTGGAAAAATTATGAGAATTAGGCGCAGAGTTGGAGGACGAGACAGACGTTAGTGCTGATGCAACACTAAGTGCAGGAGATGCAGAGCGCGGATTCGAAGCAGATGCCGATGCCGAATCCGAACGAGAATGGTTATGAAAGTAATTAAAAGGCGAGTAAGGCGATGCAGAAATAGGCGTTGAAGGGTACCGTGGTGACTGCAACGACATTGATATAACGCCGGAATTCATTGACAGCGGTAAGCCGCGATGAGGCTGCCTTTGATATTGGCTCGAGTCTGCCATAGGCGTGCCTGGTCGAGACATGGTATTGGCTGGAGTGAAATACATCGAATGTTGATGTCTCTGGAAAAGAAAGAATGAGATTTCGGCGTGAACCGAGAGCAAAAACGAGTTAACATACGTCGCCGTTGCTGCGAATATCAGTTTGCAGGAGAGGTTGACCGGGTGAACCATCTCGTCCTATGCCGTGATTGAGAGCACGCGCCTGCCTGCGCGTGAGGACTCTGTCAGGTCCAATGCTGCTTGGGACCTGGTGTGTGTGATTCATAGCCATATGATGATCAGTATGAGTTTGGGTAATTGGGGAGTGCTGGTGAGGGTTGTAGGAGCCGCACTGTGGAATGTAGGAGGTGGAAGCGGCAGGCGAGGGATAGTCGACATGATCTGTCGAGCGATTTACGATAGAATACATTGGAGAAGGCTGGCCAGAAGAGGAAGAACTATCTTGTGGAGAATGGTGGTTAGGATGCCACGATGAGTCCTGCATGGATGCGCTGATGTTTTGAGCATGGCCTGTGCTATCAACGTGCATGACGGCCGGTGACGGGTAAACGAGAGAACCGTAGTGTTCCGCGTTCTCCATCGGTTTCGCTCATTTGCTTGTTGTCGAGGGCGTTCGACGTGAAGAACGAACGTATAAAAGCGCTCGACGACAGGTTTTTATATGAGAAACAGGGACCTGCAATTTTGACCGGTTAAAATGGGATCGGCTCTTCGCAGCACTTGTAAAGAAGCGCGTCCTTCAGCCACTCTGCCAAAAAAGCTGCCTTGTATCTGACTTGGTCTCCCAAGGGTCTCGTAACCTGGCACTCGTCTCGAGGCTCTTTCCTCATATTCCTTATACGCGCTTGTCCTTGTGTCTGAACAGATCTGCTATCTGCTTTCTTCCACGTTGAAATCGCCCCAATGGCTACTATCTCATTTACATC